TGGCCTTTAGAGGGAACAGAGTATCTGCCAATCGATGCTCAGACATCTTTCAGAGAAGGAAAATATAATAAAGGTACCGGTGCTCGTAATTTTACATATATACTGTAAAATCTTAACGTTTTAATTTTAAATTTAATTTGAATTTGAATGTATGTTAACTGTGAACAGACATCGACATCATTGCCGGTGTGACCCGGGACGAGGGTTCACTGTTATCGTACTGGACTTACCCCGAACTTCACGGGAATTTCACTGAACAGGAGTTTAGGGATTTGGTCCAAGTGTCGGACGATCTGTTTCATGGCATACCTGTCCAAAATGTAACCGATTACTATCTCAGGGATGTTAACACCAGTGACTCCCAGGCACTCAAACATGCATTTTACAACTATTACGGCGATATACTCATGAAGTGTCCGACATATCTGTTCGCCAAACAATTTGCTATAAATGCTAAAAACACATCACATAATGTATACTACTATGAGCTGACATAGGTCCGGGTCCTACACCGGTATATACCGACACAACTCCTCTGTTACCCATATACGGTACCTAGACTACACCTCAAACAAAAGCCCGACAAGAAACTTATGTTGAGTTGGTGTGGAAACCTGAACTTTTTCAGTGCAGAAATCATGCAAATGTGGACTCAATTTGCCAAAAATGGGTAACATTTACGGAATATTCTTTGATATAAAATATAGCTTTTAATTTATTTTTGTTTTTATGTTAATTATGATTAAAAGGCTGCCATCGACTGAATGGCCGACACTTATAGACCACAACCAATTGGTTCGCGTGAAGAACCTGAACCCACACACAGACACACCGGTTATGGTTAACCCATTTGAGAGTACATGTGATGGTGTATGGCGAACATATTTTGTATAATTAATACATCATATTTATGATAGATACATTATCAAGATATTTTTGGTGATTTTATTCAAATACATGATAATTAAAAACAATTTGTATGTTAAAAATTTACTTTATAAATTAAATCTAGCCTGTGTTTTTAAATAAATTGTGCAATTAAACAAAAAATAGTTTGCAAATATAATACATTGTTTTTAACATATATCATACGGTACCAGTAATATCAGTAAAAACTTAACTACTGTACCTATATTGCCATAATCTAGTGACTAGTCTATCTAGAATCTAGATTCTAGTCTATCATAACAACATAAATTGTCTATGCCAATTCTAGATCAATTTTAGATACTCAAGGTTTAATTAATACAAAGGCACATATTTATCACAATACTATACTAAATAATAAAATAATCATTCGTTTGCATCCTGTTATAACAATCATTGGGTAAGACTTTATCGCAATTATATACTGTATGTTACTATAAGATTGAGATTAAAAATGAGAATCTGCAAGAAATAAACTGGATCACAATGAGCGCATAAATAGATAAGACAATTATAATTTAATATAAATATAGTGGAAAACAGTTTCTGCATTTTACAATTATTATTTATTACTAGTTTTTCAAATCAAAAATGAAATCAATTATCATTTCAAGTGTTTTAATATTAATTTTGTGCATAAAATGCATTATCAGTGTTGATGTGTACACGACATCGGGTGTAGTGAGAGGGCAGACAATACAGGCGTTCAATAAAAGTATTGACCAGTTTTTGGGTATACCATATGCCGAGCCCCCGGTTGGGAATCTCAGGTTCGCACCACCAAAACCTATTCAATGGCCGGCACCGGTAAAATATACCATTCACATTTTAAAAGCTTGACAAGGTGAATTTTAAAATAAATATATTTCAAAGCTAATCGATGGCACAAAAGTGAAAGACATGTGTCCACAACCGGTCAGACACTTCACCAACGATGTCAACCAGAGCGAGGACTGTCTGTTTCTTAACATATGGACAGTTAGTTCACAAAATAATAGGTCGAATGGCGACCTAAAAGCAGTGATGGTTTACATACACGGCGGAGGCTTTATCGTGGGCTCCAGTTTCCAATTCCCGGACATCAATGGCACAGCACTGGCCTCCCATGACCTCACTATTGTCACCATTAATTATAGGCTTGGATTCCTTG